TATAACATTTTGTAATAATAATAATAATAGAAATAGATTAGGATTTTTTATTATTATTATTAACAAATAAATTATCGGATTCTAGAGTATTATTGATATTAATAATACTTTCAGAAAAGTTGAGGACTGATTTGATAAATAATATTGGATTAAGATTATTTAGAGATTTGTTAATAACAGAATCGATATTTTCGTTGCTTTCCTTTATTTCATTATCAGGTTCTATATTTCTATACTATCTATATATTTCTATAGTAAATAATTCTCTAAATATAATAGCTATATCTTTGTAATATAGAAAAGAGATTATATACTATTTGAATTTGTTTGAATGCTTCTAATATCAAAATCAATTATAATATTATTATATAATAATCAAAAGAATAGATCTCTCTGGTTTCAGTTTAAATAATTAGTTCAATAGTAATTATATAGTTCTTTTTATTCTAACCAAAACCAGATATTTCTTTTATAAATCATTTGATTTTTTTTATATCAATTTTTATATATCTCTATTTGGATTTGGCAATTCTATTATACTTTTTATTAAGATCTTTAAAGGATTAAGTAATAGCAGTCTAAATAAAAGCTTTAAAATTATTATCAAAGATATTGTTATTTAATTTAACAGTTTTGAATTAAGCTATAAGGAAAGCAATCTCCTCAAAAATCTATTTTGTATTAAAAATACAAAAAACTCTAATAAAAGCAGATATTGTTTTGATAATAGACTTGGGTGATATAATTACAAAGTAATTATTGATATTATAATACAGATTTATAGTTCAATCAAGAAGTATCTATAGATTATTATACAGCACATATATGAAAAATGTTATGTGAGCCAAACAAAGGCTTATATTTTAAAAAAAATGGTATTTTTAGAAATGAGAATCTATATACACACTCTATTTTTGATAAATGCGAAAACTCACACTACCGAGCCAAACAAGGCCTAAGCCAGTCATCCGAATGCCAATATGGGGGAGTTCGTAATTTCGAACATTTGCTTTATATAAAGCATAGGTAAGTAAATAAACAAGGCACAAGTACAATATAATACAATACAGTATCTCCAAATCAATTGTTCAATCGTTCCTAATAATATATATATATACACATATATATACACTTCACAAATGACAATTCATCGTTCCCTTCCACCTTTTTTACTGCTCCCACATTCCCATTTCCTTTCCCTTCGCCTCACACTTCACACCTCCTCCTGTTTCTGTTCCCTTTCCCTCCCTCCTTTCTCGTTCAACAACAACAACATGACTATTATCGCATATGCATACTCTTTTCTCCATATACACACTACCTTTACTTACTACTCACTACTTACTACTCACATTTTAATCTCCAATTGGATCTGGTATTCATTACTCAATATATCATACTCTATGTATCGTACCACAAATCTAATCACTTCTTCTTATCCAACTACAGTAACTCACGAACTCATTCAACTCACGAACTCACTAACCCCACCAACCCTCCGTTACACACACCTACATCTACATCTATCATCACCAACAACAACAATCCAAAGATACAAAGATACAATACCTACAGCACGAGTAAATACCTCTTCCATTCGCTTTCCTTCACCTTCACTTCACTTCACCTCACCTCCTATATAAATCCCCTCCCGTCCCTCTCTCTCTCCCTCCCTCCTAACTACACTACAATACACTTCACTTCACTTAAAAGTTACAACCAACTGCCTTTCGTCTTTTTCATCTTTTTCATCTTTTTCACTTCTTTCATTTCTTTCGTTTCTTCCTCTGAGAGCCTGAGTACAAGTATATTTCACAAGGTAGGCAAGTACCCAACCTATTCAACCCTTTCAACCCTTTCAACTCACTCAACCCATCCAACTCACCCAACCCATCTAACTCCAATCCCAAACTCTACCCTCCCTCTATCTCTACATTCAACATAACTTATTATAAAAATACATATACATATATATACATACACATACACACCACACATATACACAAATATCTATCTATAACATCGAAACCACATATAGTCCTCATCCTCATCCTCGTTCACATCCTATTGTTAGTCCTACCCACAACCAACTAAGCACTCAACCCTACCCAATCCAGCCCAACCTAAGCACCCAACCAAGCCTTGAGCCCTTCCTTCTCCTCCCCTTCCCTTCCTCAAAAATAACAACCTCTTTTCCTCTTTTCTCCTCTCCCATATCGGCTACACTACACCACACACCACATATCACATCCCCTTCCCTCACACACATTCCCTTCCCTCGCATCCCCTCACATCACATCCCCTTCTCTCACAGCACATGCAGTCATACATCCTTTTGCACAATCAGTACAACCCGTATGCAAGTATTTTCTTACGCTACCTACCACCCCTACTATACTATACTAGACTATACGAGTACTACTGAGTATACCACATTCCGAGAACTCGGCTATGGTTTCCTCTCTACGAGTATGGTAGGATAAATGCTCAAATGCAATATAATGAAAGGGTAGGTAGGGAAGGGTAGGGAAGGGTATTTATTCATGCCTTGTGTGTTTTTTACTTCATTCATACTTCATGCTTCATACTTCAAACTTCATACTTCATACTTCATTCATACTTCATACTTTACACTTCACACTTCACACTTCATACTACTTTACATCTATAAATAAATTCCTTATTCAATTTCCTAATTTCCTAATTTGCTAATTCCAATTTACCATCAATAAAACCCATAAGCCATAACACTACCCTACCCTACCCTACCCACAAACAACACCTATAACCACACCTACACCCATAACTACAACTTAGAAGCCGGCGAAGAATGACCCACCGCAGTAATTTCATTATAAAGAAGTCTATTCATTCAAACATTAGCAATTTATTCCACTCCAACATCACATCACACATCACATCATCTCTCTCTCTCTCTCAAAAGGAATAAACTTACGAAGTCAAAAAGTCCGCATAATCCTCCCCAGTAACCTGGCTTGAGAAATATTGAGCAGCCAACTGATACTTATTACCCTTAGCCCCCTGACTCGCCAATTGATCTGCTTGTTCCTTGAGTAATCTCAATGCGTAAGCTTTATCTACTTTCTTTCCCTCGGCAGTGCTAACGCCATGTTTAACCCATTGCCATAATTGAGAACGACTGACTTCGGCTGTCGCAGCATCCTCCATCAGATAATTGATAGGGACGCAACCTACGCCTCGAAGCCATCCTTCCATGTATCCGAGTCCGATATTGAGATTCTTGCGAATACCTTCTTCGGTGACGGCACCGGGGACATTCATATTTAAGAGGTTGTTTTGACCAATCTTGACATCTTCGCGACGGATGAACATTTGATTGGGCGTCGGCATGTGTTTGTTGAATACTTCCGACGCAATGGATGCAAGTGCTGGGTGAGCAACCCATGTACCATCGTGGCCGGCTTTGGCTTCGCGGAGCTTGTCCGCGTATACACCTTCCATGGCTTTGTCGTTGGCGGCTTTATCATCCTTGATGGGGATTTGGGCGGCCATGCCTCCCATGGCGTGCACTTGTCTCCGATGACAGGTTTGGATCAAGAGCTTGACGTATGCGTCCATGAAGGGAACGGTCATGGTGATGGCTGATCGATCTGGGAGCACGAAGTGGGAGTTGTTGCGAAACTTCTTGATGACGCTGAAGATGTAATCCCATCGTCCACAATTGAGACCAGAGCTGTGATCTCGGAGTTCGTAGATAATCTCATCCATTTCAAATGCAGCAAGGATCGTCTCGATCAACACGGTTCCTCGAATGGTTCCCCGTGGGATGGCGATGAAATCTTGCGAGAGGTTGAATACATCATTCCATAACCGAGCTTCGAGATGGGATTCCAATTTGGGGAGATAGAAGTATGGACCAAAACCACTCTTGATGAGCTCTTTGGCATTATGGAAAAAGTATAAGCCGAAATCGAAGAGACTGCCGGAGATGGGCTCGCCATCTACGGTGAAATGTTTCTCCTCGAGATGCCAGCCTCGGGGTCTCACGATCAGTGTGGGGAGTGTACGGTCGGTTCGGAGTTTGTATTCCTTCTCTCCTATCTTGAAATCGACTTGTCTTCTGACTGCATCGTGAAGGTTCACTTGTCCATTAATCATATTATCCCATGTTGGAGCACTAGAGTCTTTCTAGAGTTAGTACGTGAATGTGAAGAACGAAATTGGAATAGATGAACCGTACCTTCAAGATCTGCCATATATGTCCAAACATTTGAGTTCAAAGCATTGACAATCATCTTTCTGTCAGTTGGACCAGTGATCTCCACTCTACGATCGATCAGTCCCGGTGCCGGTGGCGCTCCCCTCCAAGCATCATTTTCTCGGATATGTTTTGTTTCTGGGAGGAAATCTGGTAGAGAACCTTTATCAAGTTCTGCTTGTCTAATGACACGGCGTTGAAGGAGTTCTTTCCTGGTACCGTTAAAGGATCTGTGAAGGAGAGCAAGGAATGCAACAGCATCTTTACTGAGGATCTTCTTATTGAAATCGGTAATAGATCCAGAAATGTTCACGCCCTGTAGTTGAGCATCGACTTGAGACATCTTGTAAACTATTTGAAAGGTGTATTGTAGGATATGAAGATTGATATCGTAGATTTATAGATATTAAATAAGATAGAATTGAGAGTGATATTTAAGTTGAAAGAAACTTAAGAATCAAAAGAAGTCGAGGGGAATACATTACTATATTAGGAGCTTAGGAGCTTTGGTCGCGGCAACGAGGGGCAACTCGGCATGTAAGTTCCCCAAGAGCAGCATGCATTCGGGTGGAGGGGGGAAGATAGCTTTTTGGTTAGAATTCAAGCTTGTGAATGTGGGGAAATGCCTTTTCGGTTGTCGCCGCCTTACGTTTCTAGAAGGTTGTTTGTTTGTACTATCATTCCTTGATATGATAGCTTTATCGTCATACCATACTTTGTACTTACATTTTGACAAATAGATGATGGACCTAGGTAGATAGTCTTTTGTTCTCGTTTGGTCTAGTGAAAGACATTGTCCAATATCATTTGCCGTAATACATATATACCGGCAAGTACTCGTAGATGAGAATATCATCCCTCAATAACAGATAGATTCTTCAAACAGGACAGCTGTAACAAGTTGACTTTGCTTCTCTGCTTTCTTCTTTGATAAGATCTTACATTTCCAGCCCTGTAATACGACCCTGGTTACCCTCGGCGATAATAGCCGTATAAATCCCGCTTATCTGTTATCGCCCAGACTTTGATAAGCCGAGGCATTACTCGATGAAGTCGAGCAGGATATCTTGCCGGATCAATCCGATTATCGGATTTGGATTTGGATTTGTGTGATCAGTTTCGGATGGACAGGAAAGGAAAGATGATGACTCCCGAGGTCGGCCTTACCTACCCTCATTCAAAGTCCGAAAAGCGCATCTTTGAATATTGGCTCCGGTCACTGGTTGCGGGGAAGGGGTCGTTGATGTCATGTGGGAAGAGAGGGTTTCATTCCTTTGATATTGGCATCCATGGCATTACGGTAAAGTTCGTACTCGAGTATTGCCGAAGTGTTCTGTTTCATCGCTGTTGGGATCTATGATACCTCAAGAAATAGTTCATCAGTGTATTCTCAGAGTCGTTTCTTACTTCCAACTTTCAAGTGGCAAACCGACTCCTTTCGTCTCTTCATGCCAGTGCAATACTATCAACCCTGAGAAGAACGAGTGTGTCTACCTCGGGAATACACATGATTATATTTTGGGATCAGATTCTATGATACTCTACATGAAATCTTTCGGAAGGAAGTCCTCCGTGTTTTCTGTTAGTTGTATATCATTTCACTTCTGAGGAAAGCCTGTCGCCCTCTCACATTAATCAAAAAGATACATACCAGCAAAATATCAAACATTATCTATAAGTCAACTACCCTACTTTCGGGCCACCCTTTCACACCAAAAACAGTGATTTTTGATTTTTATAACTTTTTATTCATTCGATGTAATTGAATACAATTTTAATTATAGATTCTTTATATAGTTATTAGATCAGGTACAGATTTTCAGAATTTTAGTGATATATAAAAAGTTATAAAGATTTAAAATTCGAATTTTATTAGAATATTTGATAATTCAAAACTTGATAATAAACTTTTTATTTTAGATTATATTATATATTTCAAGTTTTATTAGTAATAATCGTTTTTTGATCAAATTTTTGATCAAAATATTTCGAAGTTTTAAATAAAAGATTAAACATCAATTTTATTGAAATTAAA